GACATGTTTCAAGATTATTAAAATAAAATTTCCTTCGTACATATTGTTCGGGTATCTTGAACCGTTGTTGCAGCGTACGCAACAGTAAACCCTAAGAGATTGAAAATTTTCCACGTCTCATCCACAATTCCCACTGTTTTTTCTTTCCTATTTGTAAGTGTTCCAACCAACACAAAAATACTTTTTAATTTCGAGCCTCCACTTCCAAAGATTAGCGCGTAAAAACATACAAGCAAACTCTTCAGCTTGACAATATTAGTATAGACATAGTTTTTTTAAAGGATGTATGAGTTGGTACAAAAGCTTTTTATAGCATACAAACAATATTATGGTGTAAATGAACCAGCTATTTGACCTAATCTTGGTAGCTTTAGAACTGAATATAATATAGTCTTTTAACTAAAAATGATTTTAACACAGAACAAAATGCCTGTAATTAAAAACTAACTTGACATCGAATTAAAAAAACAATAGTTTCGTTGTATACAGCACGAAAAAGTCTGATCAAGAACTCGCTTGTTCAATTTGAATTTCACATGTTAAAAATGGTCCTCATGTCCCAAGTAGAGACAACGGAATTAAACAAGTAACCGCATTACAATTGGAATTCTGATATGTATAGGTACATTGAGTTTATACGTTTCGCAATAAGCTCTACAAGGTGCGCCACTTGCAATTGTTTTGAGATTGCATTAGTCACGAGTGCTGCCTGTGTCACCGTCCACTGTTGGGAACGCAGGTGGTTACCACCTTCACCAACTGGGCGGACGTTGAAATCAATATTGTGCAATTCAACTTGATTACAAACCTCTGAATTGGATAATGGCGTGAGACTTGGGTTTGAACCTGGGTTTAAAAATAAAGTTTCGTTTCCAAAAGTTCAGAAGCTTGGTCTGGAATACTTCAAATACACAGATAAAATGGGAAATTACTTTTTTAATATAATTGTCAATGGTAATTAAAGGAATAGAATGTATGTATCAACGTAGTGCTTAAGCTACTGAACCAATTTTGATGAGTATTGTATGGTACAGATTGGTAGCTCACATCGCATAGCATTGCTATATACCTACTTTTTATTTTTTGGTTAATATTAGAGCTTAAATCTATTAAAGTAGGCACGAACAATTTACTAATTAATTACAATAACAATAAAAGCTGATACACATTTAAAACTTTTAACGGTTTAAAACGCGAAATATATAGTAAAACCTATTTTCAATGTATGCTACAACCCAACGGTTCGAATATTATGCAGCTGCCGTGATTAATTAGGGTTACGTCGAGTCGGTATTTAAATTAAATAAAGAATAATATTAGTAAATTTCACATTTAAAACCGTTGAAAGTGATCTATTCAAAATAACGCTATTATTATAAATTCGAAAAGGGGATCTGTTTAAATTGACACATATATTATGTAGGTATGTTATCTATAGTAATGTATCAACAATAACGTACTGGAAGAATTACTGGTAAATTGGTTCCGAGATAAAGAGAGATAAATAAATAATTTATGTGCAAGTAAATGTCAAGGATATCGAGATTCAAGTGATCTATATAATAATGAGCGAAGTACATAATAACGTTAACCCAGGATACCATTTTGCATATTAAACACCTCGGGAAGTACTTAGCGTTAAGAGTGACATAAAAAACTACCTGTTTCAGTAATTATCTCTATATTAATGTACATTTTTGTGGGTTTTCTATCAAGGTAATATAAATTTAAATAATATACTCGTTAAATACTAAAGTCGTAAATATCTAGTAATGCGTAATTGCGTAGGTTGTAACAAATAACTTCTCATCGAGATTTCAATAATTTATTATCTCATTTTATTAAATTATAATAACGCTTCAACCATAAGATCTGTTTCTTATGATATCTGAACTATTGTGTGTCACCACTTTCTCTGAGTTAGTGGTGTAGAAGCGGAAGAATGGCAATCTAGGAGGCCACGCTATGTGAACCTCCAAGATCTAATTTCGCCTTGTCTGAAATGGGCACTGGTGTTGGGAGCTTTACAGTCGTACAAACGAGTTGCCAGGGCTTCCTTGATAGCATGGTAGAGGACTGGTGGTGTTTTTAGTCAAATCTCGCCTCCGGTAGGGTTGGAACTACTGGCTCAAAAACGAAGGGTGGGCCACACTCCCCATGTAAAATGGCCGATGTGGGATAATGAATTTACATTCCATTAATTGAAAAGACTAAAATAATAGACATACTTGTCACAGATAAAACCCGTAAAGAATAAATATTTTGAAGTTAGTAGATTTTTATATATCTTTTAGTTTACAAAATTTTCTTGAAAAAATATATTATTACTTTTATAATTACGAGTTAATTACTTCCATGTACATAATAACTCAGTTTTATCGAAGGAACGTATAAAGGGGAGCGGATTTTTGGCAAATTACTGATAATCGTTACTAATTTCTCGTTGAAATATGTACTGAATATAATAACTACTTATAAGTAACTATAATTTTTGCGTTTAATTTTATTCCGAAGGCCGACTTTGTTATTTGGCAATTGTGAGGTGGTAAATTATCATATTGTGTTGATTTAAATCAAAGAGTTTAACAGTTTAAAACGCGATATATATTAGTTCGTAGTTACAACGGCCGGCTGTAGTTAAAATAATGTTCAAATAAGTTTAACTAATATATACCGAGTTTTAAACCGTTGAAGTGTGTCATTTAAATGTGTACTACTCGCGTAAACTACAGACAGTATTGTGTTGATTTAATATTTTTACAAAGTGTATTTACCGTATATACTGAGAAATATAATTGTTTAAAATAAAGACATAATATACCTCATAGTACTATGATGTCATTCCACAGAATCACATATGGTCCGACGTATCATTCTATATCTGGACAAAGTATAGTAATTATGACAACATGACAACTATCATTAGTATTTCAAAATATGGAACGTCATTATTAGGCAAATGTCATTAGTCTATTTGATATGTCAAGTAATCTTTACGACAAATACCACTACCATTATATTCTAGCCTGCAGCGATGTTTAGCATCGGGCGAGTATTATATTGGATAGGACCGAAGCTTTCTTTACATAAGCCTCTACAAATTAAAGGTTTGGCTGCAATAATTATGCATATTTGTAGTCTTTTGCTTTAAGATATTTGGGTTAAAACTTAGATATGATGTTGTTTATGCAGCATACAATTTTATATTTTATGTTCAATCATAAAATATTAAATGGGCCACCATTGGGGAACCACCGTCCACAGATGAAAAAGCCGTGAAGTTTAATCACGTTTCGCCTTCAGTCTATGTATTTCCGAATATCAAAAGCCAAAATAGGTCGAACCTTGTTTAGATGCTATATAATTTAGAAATCGAAAATTTAAAAAAATTTCGCCTCGGGCAGGACTTGAACCGCCATCGTCAGCGTTCCGTGCTATTGATGTACCAATTGAGCTACCGAGTCCTGATGCTATAGTCTTAGTATTATATCTAGTATTGTACCTACCATCTAGTGAACTCCCCATACTTGTTTGCAATAGTCTAACATTAAAAGAAGTCTTTATTAAATTCCTTTTCTAAGTTTTATAAACCATTTTAACTATATAAGTACGTCTTATAAAACTAGAACTTAAATTAAATAGGTTTAGTCTCAACAATAGCGAAACCCTTATTGCATGAAATCAACTAAAACCACAAATACACCTCGAATCAAGCGCAAATAATACAAAGCACTAGATAGGAAATATTTGAAAAGGTCAGTTCCAGCATGTTCTAGATTGAACACGCCCAGTCTGCACGTTTTGATTGTTAATATAATAAAGCTTAGGAAATGTTTGACAAATATCGTACGCAATTACTTTAATGTGGTAATGTATTAAATGAATTTGTTTTACTGGCCTTGTAACTAATAATATTATTTACATTGTTTAGTAATTTCAAAAAGTTTACTCAATATATTTAATTATCTACATTTTGAAAGCTCCATACTTCTATAAGGTATAGGCAATTACTAAATTCAAAGAGAGACAAAAAGAAAAATGTGTCAAACATGTCGCTGCACTAAGATATTTTCCAACACAGCAATTTATTATTGCACAGGTATTAAAAAACTTTGAAACAATAAATTCATGATAAGTTTTCCTGCTCACTATAATTTCATCAATGCAAGTTCGTAATAAAGACCTGAACAGTATTTAAATAAAACACATTAACGGTTTATAAAAGCGATATACATTATTATTGTAGCAATGCATCCGGAACGTCAGACCGTAGTTAAATTAATTTTCAAATAAGTTTAACTAATATATATCGCGTTTTAAACCGTTAAAGTGTTTTATTTAAATGTGTAGTAAAATTAAACAAGAAAGGGAGAACATTCCATGAATTCTAAATAATGAATATTTGAATCAAAATAAAGTATTATCACAGATTTACATAAAGTTCATTCAGTGTAGAATCAAGTTTATGTGATCGACATCTGTACCATTATAAAATGTCAAAGTTTGTTGACCACAAAAGTGCCGGACGGCTTCCTATATAAGGTGCTTGGTATTTAATTTATATTGTTGTATTTCCACTGCTTTTTTATTTTGAATTGAAAATTCTTATAATTGCCATTGACCATATTTCGTGCGTTGACTCTGTTTCGTCTGTCGACAAAGTGAAATCGAGGGTAAGATCTATACTAATATATAAAGCTGTAGAGTTTGTTTGCTTGTTTGTTTGAATGCGCTTATCTCAGGAACTACGGGTTCGAATTCAAATAAAATGTATCAAAAAAAATACAAGTATTATAAGAAACGCAATAAAAAGAGATATTCCGTTTTGTATTTCTACAACAGAGAAATCTTTAAATTAATAATAATAATAGAATAATTAATAAAAAAAAACAGCAATTTTTGGTGTCGATTTTTGCCTGGAACATAATGAAGAATGGGTTTAATATCGGAGAAGGTAATGCGTAATTTCCCGTGCGAATTAAAAGTGAACTGTACGAGAGATGTCGTTTGTCCCACATCCCACAGTAAGCGGTGCGCCCGCGCAGTGTCGTGATTACTACAACGTGACAATTGCTGAAACGAGACAGGCAATTTTAATTCACTCATCCTCTGATTTAGATAAAATTAATTACACACGTACAAGTACGTCTTGAAATTAATTAAATAAATCTTTGAGGTATAAAAACATTAAAAGTGAAAAAAAGGTTAATAGATGTATTTAAATAAAACACTATAACGGTTTAAAACGCGATATATTAGTTAAACTTATTTGAAAACGGGGAGACTCCCCGTGACCACGGCTGCTGCAAGCATCCGAAACGTCGGGCCGAAGTTAAAAATCATTTTCAAATAAGTTTAACTACTATCGCGTTTTAAACCGTTAAAGTGTTTTATTAAAATGTGTACTATAGACCTTATTTAATAGATGTATATAATATTTGGTCTACTTATCTATTGTTAAGGACTGTCCAAAGCCGAAATAAGTCGACAGTACATCTTAATTTAACGTTATGGGGCTGAGGTATTTCGAATTCCATCATGCGAGCCCTGTCTCTTAAAAGCTAGCTATACATTAAAACTTGCATCTCAGTTTTAATGTATAGCTCAAATAAATTACTTACAAATAAGAGAGGGCTTTCGCAAGACCTTAATTATTGTATGTAGTAAGATAATTTAAATAGAGTGTACGAGCTAATGAAATAACGCCAAGGCCGGAAAACAGTGAAATAGTTGAGAATAACTCAGATTTAAGTAGATAAAGGTGCTTTAATTGTGCGCTTACAACATCGATGGATTAATAACAAGATGCGCAAGCGCACGTTAGCAAATTTAATTATTTTATAACCCTTGTTGAAATAATTAAAAATTAATAAATATATAGAGGGATAATTAATGAAATATAATAAAGCGATATAGTTTTTCCATAAAAAACATATAGCTTGATCACTGTTCCAAGAAGGAACAAATTATCAGTATTTTTGTTTCATAGACAAGTAAAAGTCTTAAAATACTACGGAGGTTTAAAAATTTTAATTCTTCTTTTAGAATGTCTCGGGGCACACGATCGTTCCCGGCAGCGCTCCGGTCCAATCAGGAGCGTTCCGGTCGCGGCCGACATCAAACGAGAGGTGAACTTCGACTGCCCCGAAGAGTTTGGCTACTACCCTCACCCAACAGACTGCACGCTCTACTATGTTTGCGTGTTCGGTGGTGCACTACTTGAATCGTGTACTGGCGGACTGATGTACAGGTATTTGCCGTGGTTTAATTTTCATCTACATACTTGCTCCAAGAATGAATATTTCCTACCGACTCCGTAGCTCATTGATTGATAGACACAGAAGTCTTTAAATTAAATTAATATAAAAAAAGGGAAACGGGTTCGTTCCATCCCCATCCCCATACGAAGGAAACGGGATTTTAATCTAGTATGAACCATGCTAATTTGGTTTGTATCATCTGGTTCAAAATAAGTAAGAAAAACCGGTTTCAGCCGTTTTTCCTTATAGTTTATCTCGCTCTTTACAGCCACGAACTCCAAACATGTGATTGGCCACGTAACGTTGGATGCGATGCTACTGGTGCCGTGGTTGCTGACGACCTGGAAAGGCTGAATGAGAGGGAGCCATCACCGCCACCACGAAGAACTCCTCCACCTCCACCTCCCCGTATTCAGCCCAAGCCAATTGTAACGTCACGAGGACAGCCACAATACAGCCGACGAGAAGAATACGAAAAGGTGAGTGCTCAGACTGATAGAGTTTCAAAACAGTAATATATAAGTTAAAAAAAATCTATACTAATATAAAGCTGAAGAGTTTGTTTGTTCGTTTGTATGTTTGAACGCGCTAATCTCAGGAACTACTGCTTCGAATTGAAAAAATATTTTTGTGTTGATTAGAGCATTTATCGCGGAAAGCTATAAGTACTCTACGAAAACGGTACTAAGATTATCTTCTTCTTCTTCTTAATCTTTTAAGATTAACTTGCAAGATCGACGGAACCCGTAAACCGGGACGTGACCAATGTCGTGGGTCACAGCTTAAATTTATAAAGAAGGGGGTTTGCAAAGAAAACAATTGGGTGCCTAAAATAACTACTCTACGTGTACGTACTTGCTGATACATAATAATAATCATAATAAAACTCTTTATTGCACAATAAAAAACATAGACATAAGAACATAGGCACTTAAAATTATATATACGAAAATAAAATTAAAATAGTTAATAATAAAGTCAGCAATATATGAATTTATATAGTATGCCAAAAACTAACCTATCCTTACAATTGCTAGTTTCGATGTAAAACTATTTGGTACAACTGTATATCTTAGTTGAACCTTTTCTGTATTACATGATAGGCTTCTTTATCCAATAGTATTCACATAACAGATTAAAATTTTCAGCAACAACAACTTTACGCCGAGGTGGACGATCTGCCACCAATCGAAGAAATAGAGACCGATAGACAACAGAGAGTTTACAGAGGTCAACCATCAACAATAGGGCAGGTTCAAAAGGACAGAGACGGATACGTGTCGCAACCCATTGCGTCTGGACGGACATTGAACGCTAACATCATTCCCGCTTCATTAAGCCAAAACAGCAAAATTGGATCTTTCTCATTTGGATCTCAGGTTGACGAAAGGAGAACCGCTACAGCGACGCAAGCACCTCAAACATATAGGTAAAATTATTATCAATTAGTAAGAAAACCTTTAAATCTATAATTTAAAAATATAAACTGTTAGATGTTAATTTCAAACTGGTTATTGTACTTTATTATGTTAATTTTACGTTCTTATATTAAAATTTCAGTGGATATAATGACAACATGACTGATATATCTGACAGACTTGTAGACATTTCGACTAATGAACTCGGATTTGACGAGTTTGATGTAGAAGGACGCTCACACTCTAGAAAAAAACGCGATACATCAACCCCAGACCAAGGAGCTGATAAAAAGAATAAAACTGTTATAGAAAAAAGAAACGATGGCGATCATGTCATGGAATATATTGAAGTAGATACAGAACCGAATTTTAACGAGTATTACGACGAACAAGACGATAATGACAGAGATAAGAGACAAGTTAGATATTATTTAAAAAATGGATTCAAATCTCCGGTAAAAATTTGGCACAATCCGAAACAGTTGAAGGTAGCAGATTTTCAACAGTATAACCCTAATTATAATCCCAACATTCAAAACTCTAGACATCAATATAGCAATGATAATACTCGGCAACAATCAACTCAAAACTTTTATCCGACTATGAACCCGTACTTAACATATCAATCGGATACTTTTCAATCTCAAAGACCATTCAAAGCTAGCTATCCTGATCCGCTCAAACAAAAGCCATCGAATATTAACACTCAAATTATAACAAAAAGTCCACCCATATCGTCTTTAAATAGTAATGGACATCCATTCGCCTCTTTGTCTGGTGGATTTTATAACAACAATAACGATAAAAATACTAATCCGAACACACATTATACTTATCAATCCGTTACTCCTAAATATGTTTCCTTTCCTGATGCTTCTCAAGTGCCCACTACACTTGTGACAGGAAAACCATTACAAATAATGCCGACGAATGCCCCCAATAAATATCATTCCAATTATCAAGCAGCTGATATTCAATCAAGTAGGGTAAACAATGGAAAAGACTACAAAAATCAACAAATTGCTGATAAGCCTTCTGATGATGATGAGGAATATGATGATGATGATGACGAATCAGATGAAGATGAAGAAGAGCCAGAAGAAGTTTCTGATGAGAAAAAGTTCAATTTCAAACCGTTTTCAACCCGTTTGCCACATGGCTACACTCACCCAAACAATAAGTATGCGCATATTGAAAATCCCTTTGCCAATCCAAACTTTGATTTTGATGCGTTTCTTGCAAAACTACGAGATAATCACTATTCTGCTGTTGGAATTACAACTTCTAAGCCAAAAAACGTGCAAGATTTAGGCCTGAACCCTCATTCACCAAAAGGTTATTCTACGACACCTTCCTATAATAATAAAATAACTCATAGTACAGCCCCTGGGTTTACAGCAGTCAGTTCTCCAAAACCATTCACGGTGCCTCACTTTGGTAGCGACCCGACAAATAAAAACTTTCCTTCTCTCGTAAGTCATTTACAAAATTTCCACCATCCTGAAAACAATTTTGAACCTCCTTACGAGAGTCAACCTCAAGTTTTTAAAGGTCAAACTGGCTTAATGGCTTCTAAGTTTAAACCACCAAATTTCAAAGATGATCGACAGTTACCCCTCCACTATAACTTTAATAATCATAATCAAACCCTGGCAATGATACCGAAGGTACATTCACAATATTTGCATGAAGTCACTCCAAACGCTTTAAATCACCAGTCTTACAGTATATCTACTGAAAATCCTTTCATAATGTCTTCCATGGCACCTGATAATGTGCATATCGGTTCTATAAGACACTCTACTGATAAACCTTCGTCTACATTAGCAAATCACCACTTAGCAGCCCTACAGAATTATTGGAAACAACCATCTACTGATTCCTCACCTACCCTGAAATCTACACTTAGACCAAATTACTTTTCTGACATACCGAACTTGGAAAGTCTTTTCAAGCAAACATTACGACCCCCTCAACTACCCGCAAAAGCTCCAGACAGCGTGCGATACATTACAACAACTACTACCACCCAATCACCTCCAAAGCGCAAGCCTATACCTAAACCTTCACCGGAAATGAGTGATTACTATTACGACGATGAAGATGATCAATATTATTATGAACCCGTAGTTAAGCCTAAATACATGCCTATTACTGAAGTTAAACCTCAACGACCACCCATGGCTCAAAATTATCATGAGTATGACGACACTGGTGAAAATACCAATGCGTTTAAAAATTCCTTAGCGCAAAATATGCCAGCCAGTGCTAACTCACTTCAACAAAACAGTGTAACTAAAAACCATAATGATGTATCTGTTGTAACTAAGTCGCCATTTAAACAATCTTTAAAATTTGTGCATGGAAAGATACCAGTTCCCGTTATGGGTTATGATGCACCCGCAGACGACTCAAATGAATTATCTATGATTCATCATCTACGTAATAGAACTTATCATATGAGGTTACCAAACCATAAGGACAATCCTTATACACTTAAACCTCCTAAATACCTGAACCAAACCACATTAAGACCATATACTGTAAGGCACAGACTAGCTAAGCCAACAACCACAAATGACATGATCATTGAAAATGAAGAAAACAAACAAACGAGAGGAAGAATACGCCATCACAATATTGTTGCTCAAATGAAATTGACTACTCCATCTGACAGCTTAAGACAAGAAACTCGATACACAAAGACTAGTCACGATGACAAAACAAACAGGTAAAAAGTGTTTGAATGACTTGCTTCTAATAAGTAAAATTGGTACTGGGGATGACCCATTTGGACTATATAACTTTCCACTACTTGACTATATAAAATGCACACTAATTACTCTATTCTTGGTTAACCAACGACTGTACTATAATTCTGACTAACTGCTGTATATTTTGCGACTGGACTGGTATTTACTTCATATAATAAAACATCAAATTCTTATACAATTTTTGACGTTTACAGCCTGGAGCCTACAGAGAGTATTCCTCCATCATCTTACTCAGCCAGCCCACGGCCAAAAATGCTGTATAATGGTTCTCAAGCCTACACTCCTGACCAATATGATCCATATTATGCTGTATACGATGAAGATGGTGAATTGTACAAAGACACCGGTAAGCAAATATGACTGCAAAGGAAATTAATTAATTCAATTATGGCCCGGTTAAATTAATCTTTATATTCGATTCGCAGAGTTTATTCATTAAATCACTATCACTATTATACCATTATTAATTTTAACTCTTTTTGTATAGTGTAATGTATAAATTAGTTTAAATTAAATACTAATTTAAATATAAATAATACTAAAACGATCATAATTCTTGCTTAATTTTGTTATATAATGAAGGATAAGAAAAGGACTAACTTTGTCATAAGGTCCTACTATAAGTGAATTAATTTTCTACTTTCACAGTAAAATTTCAAATAACAAAATACAACCTGATCCTACTCTGTTAAACCAAATAACTTAATTTTCCTACTTCTCTAAAAAATTGGTCTAATTGCAATAACGAGTAAGGGTTAAGTTATAATGAAACCAATAAAACTGACACAAGTTACATATAATAAAAAATCACAAATTAAAAAAATAACTTCTATATTAAACCTGGTGTTTGGGCACTTACTCAATAACGGGGGATTGGTGGGTTTTGGCAGATTATGTGCAGCAATATAACATAGCCTCGGTTCGCCCGGCAGTCCAACAGACTTACCGTGGGACCCCACCATCGCCTCGCCGACCTGTAGAAACTTATACGCCGAGACCTGTGCTCCCAGACGACTACGACGATGCTCTCATACAGGGACAGGTATGAATTCAAAATGATATTGCTTATCGCAGAATCCGCAATCTCTATCACAAAATTAATATTTTGGTACCTATAATTTATTACTATTTCAGGTAATTTCATTTTTTTATTTCTGAAAACATATTTAGCTCATAAGAGTTAAGCATGTTATTGCTCGATCAAAATTGCATTTCAATATTTTAGAGTGCTCGCCAATTGTTTCTACATAACTCGCATTAATTGTATTTTTTTAATTTCAGGTTCCCAACCAGGATCAATATCAAACAGCCATTCGTCAGCCGATCAGGTAAAATTTTCGTTCATACGTTTTAATTTTAAAACCCCCTAATGTAATTCCACATACTAATTCTAAACTATGGACAATCCAGGGGCGATGTTAATGAATTGGGCTATGACCATATTCCAAGCAGCGTGAGAACTACTATTTTTGAAGCTACATCCCTAAGCACAACCCCCTCAACGACTAGCACAACCACTTCCACTACCACTACCACGACTACTACCACAAAACGTCCAACTACTGCACCCTTCACAGAGGCTATAACAGTGTCTCGTTACAATCCCAGGTACTGCAAAGATTACACTGAATTACAAGAATCACCTACATCACGTAAAATTTCATTTAAATTATCTGCTAACAATATATGGACGTAAATACAGTACATATTATCATTGATGTCTTTTGTTCCATCTTTTAACATAAACTTTGTAACTAAACAACTGTACATACATTACTAACATAAACGCTTTACAGCATAAGGAGGAGTTAAGAAGTAAATATGCTTTATGTGTACTACTTTCAAATAATATTTTGTAAGGAATATGGTTTTCACCGCTTTTTGTCTTGAAATATTGAGTTTATTGTTTTTAGATTATTATATGATGAGAGTGCTTTTTAACAATAGGATATAGTTTTTTGAACCAAATTGCAAATCTTTGAGCTTCTGGAACTATTTTAGATTTGGTCTAATATAGAATTGGAATTAGAAAGGTTTGTTTTCCTATTCAACAGATCGTCTACTGATGAAAATTCATTTCGCGAATCCAATCCTGACCAAGATCAGACAAATCTTAATGTATCCACTTCAACCCTCCCTACAGTGTCATCCTCGGTCATTAACTTTTCGTCCCTTGCAAAACCCTTTGAAAAGACTAATAACTTAAATAGGTTAGTTGAGAAGGTATCTTCGACTGAACAAACTCTGACTCGCAGACCATCTTTAGCTATAGAGGACAAAAATAAATATAATCTGGAAGTGGTTCAAGACCGTTCTAAAAATATTAATAAAAAAATGATATCCCTGACAACTGGTTTTTCAATTAGACGAAATGCAAACGATACAAATAATCCCTATACTTTGACTGTCAGAACAAAACAATACGACGCTTCTGATCCACCCCAAAAATCGTATAATGATAAAGATCGTAAAAAGCAAAATATTCAACGGTATTACTACGACATAGAACACAGCGACATCCAGAAAGAATTAGAAAAAACTGAAAACCTTACTACTACTTTACCAAGTAAAAATGATAAAAATATAGCAAGAGAAATTGCAGAAGAAAATGATTTCGAAATAACTTCTCCAAAAGTCACTTTATCTCCTACAATAAAGTTGCAGACTAGCACTACACTGCCAACTGAATCTACTAAGTACTATCTAAAAACAATACGTAAAAGGCCGGCCATACGTTTTAAAAATATTGATCAATCCACAGAAAATAGTGTGAAATTCGATGACTCCGTTGAATCAAATATAGAACAGCTGAATTCGTTAGAATCGAGTACTTCAAAACTTCTAAATATACTAAACGATGAAGCAGGCAATAAGGAATGGGATGAACCCGCTATTTCACCGTACGATACTTTAAATAATTTACGTAATAAAGAACAAGACTTAGAATATACTTCAACCACAACCTCGACTACTACAAGTTCTTTACCACCGATCGAACGTACGGAAAAATATATAATTGTTGATAAACCGTCCACACGCAAACCTTTCTATTATACATATCGAGTTGCAGACGAAGATATTCCAGATCAAACAACGGAAGTATTTAATGGTAAAGTGCGAAATGTCATCAAAACCTTTTTTAATAGTTTTACAAGCACACCCAAATTCCTGGAATCCACCTCCATTTTTTCGCCACCCGAAGTTGTTAATATAGGTTTTAAGAAAAAGAAAGTAAATTATTATGAAGAAAAACCCATACGAAACAATGTTAAATATCTTCAAATAATAACAGAACCTAGCCTACCTGAAATACTCCCTACATATACTACTGCTTCCGGTTTAATAGATGATATATCAACTACTACAACGACGCTTAATCCTGTACATAATTACTCGCCAATAAACGAAAATGAGAGCCCACGAACGCAACCTACTATAATGGAAAGTTCTACTTTCAATAATTTTGTAAACATACAGAAACCTAATTCGTACGAATCAAAATTCACTAAGTTCGTAACGCACAAACCCGACAAGATAAAATCTTCGAAGTATTCTAATATAATTGATGATAAATCTCGGCAAGATGAACTTCAGTCTACATCACTTAACAATGATATAGGTTCGAGTACAAGTGAGAAACCGGTTGAACTATTACCGATCATCGTTAGTGATATAGCATCGACTACTAGCACGACAAAATCGACGACGACTAAGACTTTCGACTTGACATCGACTAAAAACTTACCTTTCCCCACACGGGCATCGCGTGTTAATCCCGCCATTAAGTTAGCTGCGAAAAACTATGGAGATGGGCGCAGGAGTTATCAATCGACGCCAAATTGCTCATCAGACAACCGTCTGCAAGCGAATTCAAAATGCAACGAAATCAAATACCAGAGGTATAATTGGACGACCAACGATGAAAGTCTGTCAGTCTATGCATCCATGGGCACATGGACGGTGGAGGCTAAGTCGTGCAACATGTCATAACTTTCTGCAGCCCGATATAACTGGCATGAAAATAAACCTTTCCAAACTCTTAATGGCACCAATCGCTAAACTCTATCGCTTAGCATTCTCTTCTTTCATTGGGGGACTTCCAGTCGGTTGAGTGTATAAGTTATATTGTTAACTCCTGACGCGAACATTTCCGATCCTTTACTTGCACCAACTATTCACTTACTTTTTTGCTGTCAACTCATCAGAGTCATCAGAGTAGAAAGTTCCTCAATGTGGCTAAATGCACAATTTTAGTACCTCATTACAATTCGCAACTCATCTACAAGCACACCTATCATTGCAAATTGAATTATACTTTTTTAGATTAAAAACTGCATGAATTTTGATATCATAATCTTGTTTAACTGATTCAAATGATTTTTGTTTAACAATAAAAAAAAAATATAATATTTTTATTCATATATATATATTATTAAAAAATAATAATAACAACAAAATTATAAAACGGTTAAGCTTTAATCTTATTCACGCATACTAATGTCAGTTGTTATGTGAATATTTGAATAAGCAACTATGATTATTTGCAGACCAAGCAGCACCCGCGGCCGTGGTTCGGCACATTATTCAACTCAGGGTGGATCTGATTCACCTCAACAGCCACCTAACAGAGGAACCCCACCAACGTTAGCTATAAACATAAAATCAATTCACGCTTATCATTTTTGAACTTAAAAAAGTTTTAGTCTCAGATATTGCTTAAAAATCATTTTTATTAAGTGTAAAACCATATTTAGCGAATATAATTTTATACAAATGAGTGCAGTGTTGGTTTTGCATTCTATTTAAATATTATTTTTTCTGAAATAAGTATACAGCCAATCAATCAACTTGTTTCCTTATACAGTCGCAGTCGTCCAACATTGAAGCCGTCAACGGCCATTGTTACTAAAAGTGCCGAGGGTCCAGACATTTATACTAATCCTCCTAGACGCCCAGCACCTGTATACCCTCAGCCTATGCCAGACAAAACAGCCGCGAAATGCAGAAAAGATGTCTGTCTCTTACCAGACTGCTTTTGCGGAGGAAAAGATATTCCTGGTACGTAAAATCGGGTATTGGTAATTAAATGTATTTATTTTTTGTATATACAATTTTATATTTAACCAGTATGCTGAATATCTCAGGAAATTTACCTGTCGAAGAAGTACCACAAATAGTTCTTATAACGTTCGATGACGCTGTGAACGATTTAAATAAGATGTACTATGAAGAACTCTTCGAAAGGGGGCGCGTTAATCCTAATGGATGCCCAATAACGTCCACCTTTTACGTATCTCACGAATGGACAGATTATAGTCAAATACAGAACTTATACGCAGATGGCCACGAATTTGCATCGCACACTATATCGTAAGTCACTCTCGAGAGCAATGCTGGTCTGGGTTCTGTATCTTGGCGTTCGCGAGAGCCCTTGAACTTTTGGAATTAACCATTTCTGTATTCTTGGCCATCTAGAATTAACTAAGCTAAACGATACTATTATGTATTAATAAATATTTTTTCTCTCTTCTAATCCTACCTAACTTCTTAACCTGCTTCTTTCTTCCTTCTCCTGGCACATCTTACACACACCCGAAACCATGTGCACTGTACCGTCCATCCCACGACAAACAGGCGAACTTCCCGTCGAGACTGTACCGCAAATTGTTCTGCTGACCTTCGACGATTCGGTAAACGACCTCAACAAGGGCCTGTATTCCGACCTCTTTGAGAAGGGTCGTGTGAACCCCAACGGGTGTCCGATCTCGGCCACATTTTATGTGTCGCACGAGTGGACCGACTACAGTCAAGTTCAAAATCTCTATTCGGCGGGTCATGAAATGGCATCTCACACAGTATCGTAAGTTAAATATTGACACAGTCAGCACATAAATCACAATTTCAGTTACAGTCGACTACACGTTCTCAACACTTCTTTGACTCGTAGATTAGTTGGTAATGGTTTTTTTTTGGGTCATTAAATCTATACAACTTCAATTTCTACTTACTCTTGGATTTTGGTATATTCTTCTATTATTTAGATTGCAAAAACATCTAATTGTCTCATAATTTGTTCATATTTAAAAATATCGTGGAAATTACAGTCACAGTTTCGGAGAACAATTTTCTCAAAAGAAGTGGAACAGAGAAATCGGCGGCCAAAGAGAGATTTTGGCGGCATACGGTGGTGTCAAATTGGAGGATGTTAGAGGAATGAGAGCACCATTCCTTTCTGTAGGCGGCAATAAAATGTTTAAAATGCTGTACGATTCAAACTTCACATATGACTCATCATTGCCGGTTTACGAAAACAAACCACCTAGTTGGCCGTATACCCTTGACTACAAACTGTTCCACGACTGCATGATACCACCTTGCCCGACAAAATCATACCCAGGTTAGTAGATGGTATAACCAACAAAACACCTTGAACTGTCAAGAAGAGTATATTCTTTATATGTTCTCTGGTGAGGATTATTTTTTTCATTTGAAGAAGCCATTTAAACCGTCTTATTTTTAGGAGTTTGGGAAGTACCCATGGTGATGTGGCAAGACCTTAACGGTGGCAGATGTTCAATGGGAGATGCTTGTGCTAATCCTCCAGATGCGGAAGGTGTCTACAAAATGATCTTGAAAAACTTTGACAGACATTATACCACTAACAGGTAATCTATTCAAAGCAATATAAATAATTTGTCTATCTATATTTAATAAAAGTATCAATGTGAATAAACGGCAATTAAATAAAACAATGGTAGCGCTTTGTGGATAAAACAAATCAATTACGATTTATGCTTTGTTATTTACATGCTGCTTAAATTCACACTGTGCGACATTGGCAGACAAAGGATTAGAAAACATTTGTTTTGAAAATGTTTTTTCTGACAAACAAATGTAATAATTACAGGGCGCCGTTCGGACTCTTCTATCACGCTGCTTGGTTTACTCAGCCTCAACATAAAGAAGGGTTCATCATGTTCCTCGATTTCATCAACAAAATGAAGGACGTCTGGATTGTCACTAACTGGCAAGCGCTACAGTGGGTTCGGGATCCCACTCCAATTTCCCGGCTAAGCAGTTTCCAACCTTTCCAATGCAATTATCAGGTACGTAATTAGATGTGTTAGAAGTATATTCTTAATGAAGAAAGTAATTTTTTTATTAGGAGTAGATATGACTTCAAAAACAGTGAGCATCTTAAAAATATTTTAGATTTGAAAAAGATAGCAGTATTCAATGCTCTACCGATACTGAGCTGGAGGACTTCACAAACATTTAAATAAAACACTTTAACGGTTTAAAACGCGATATATTAGTTAAACTTATTTGAAAATGAGCCGTGGTCATGGGGAGGCAATAAGTGTCACCCCGTGCGCGGCTGGTGCAAAGCATACGAAACGACGGGCCGAAGTCAAAAATCATTTTCAAATAAATTTAACTAATATACCGCGTTTTAAACCGTTAAAGTGTTTTATTTAAATGTGTACTACTCGCGTAAACAATACCGCAGAAACACCGCTTTTCAGTGATAGAGTTGGACAAACAAGCATGGTTTTTACTTGGTGGGAGGTAAAATACTCCAATAATGTGCATGATGCACTGTCGATCTATTTTGACTTTTTACATTCGGAAATCGACAGACTGAAATCGACGTGATTAAACTTCACTTCGATTCGTGACTCGGATGGAATTTCGATATTACTACCACCAAGTTAATGTCCAGATTTCCAGACGTGTTGGACCCGGTCGAGATCCACCCCACGACCCGTTGATTATTAGTCGTAGACAAACGAGCCCGTCGAAGCTCCATTTAACTCTTGTTCCCCATTCCAGGGCCGACCGAAGAAGTGTAACAACCCGAAAGTATGCAATCTATGGCACAAATCTGGAGTAAGATACATGAGGACATGCCAGCCGTGTCCAGAGATCTACCCGTGGACGGGAAAGACCGGCATCAGATCCTCTCGCATCGATAATGAAATAGAAGAAAATTAAATTAACTAGATAAGATCTCGCATCCGTCTTTATATAGTGATCCTGTATTTTGTATAAATTTAGCCAACGAGGCAGGGATCATGCGCTATACCTTGTCTAATATAGGATGATCAATCGAATGACAAGTAGATCAATAGCATATTATCGTTCTGTAAATATGTTCTATTATTTAATATATCACACTACTTCAAATCACTTGATTGACATGGTGTTGTTTTAATAAAAAGCGTCCACGTTATGTGGCATTTGAGAACATATATTACATTTTTTATATAAAACACTTTAATGGTTTAAAACGCGATATATACTAGTTAAACTTATTTTAACTACGGGACGACGTTTCGCGTCATTTATATCGCGTTTTAAACCGTAAAAACATTTTATTTTACAATTTTTTACCTACCTGACAAACTACCGGTTACTGCAATAATCTGTGAGTGCGAACTGTCAAACTTGTCATCCTATTTTAGACGAGGCATAGATAGAGGAAATTGTTTTGTCTCCACGTGAGTGCCATGTAAAGTGCGACGGTCACAAAGCATCAATTTCGTTGAAGGTGCGTGATTCAAATGTTTAGTTAATCCGCTGATTGTTGAGATTGTGAGTTGTATTGGAAACTGTGATATTGTATGTTTTCAATCATCTAGGATGGGAAACGCTTCGAAAACTACCTAATTATGTTTAATTTAAGTATTCGGTTACATTAGCATTAATACTTGGTGCAATTTTAATTTTGCAAATCTTATTACTCTCTAAAACAATAAATTGCCGTTAATCCGCCATTACAATATTTATTATCTATGGTATCTGTATTCATCAAAGTAACATTATCGTTTGTAATATAAAAGCCATATTAAAATTTAGACGGTCTAAATCTTGCCAGCTCTGTGGTTGACACTGCCTTTTATATTATTGTAAATATAGTTATTTTAGCGTATTTGTATAGCGAATTGCATATTATACTGATAACCTTTAAAAAAATAAAACCTATATGTATCGTGTTGTGGAGACGTCTGTCTACATCGTAACTAGATGTAGCACATGTCTATACGACTAAGTTGATGGACCACCAATAACTTTTTTCGGCAAATGTTGATTTTAATTCATAGTTTTTTAGATGAACGCTTATTCTGCTATGAAATGCGAGGATGCTGCTTGCGATATTTAAAGTAAAATTAGGCGATATTTATAAGTAATACTGTAAATATAGTTTTAGTATTTAATGTTTGTAGTCCCACTTTGTACAATGGAATTATTTTTGTATTGTCTCCTAGTAATTCGGACTCGTCTGTATTGCGCTGACGCATTGATTGTTTCAAAATTGTAAAGAATTTATGTGAACATTCACTATTCTGAATAAAATTTATTTAATTTATATGCAGTTTTATTGTTTATCGATAATTACGTCTTGCGCTTATTAATAGAATTTGTCACGAAAATCATATATTTCAGACAGGGTCATCCTTGGACCTTGTAATATCCACTTCATTGCCAACACTCATGTTTCCCACATATTGCTATTAAAAAATGTATTTTTCAATCATAACACCTGTCCCATGACATTCTACCTCAGTCAAGGTCAATCCTCACACCATATAAAAGAGTCGAACTTTGCTATTCAACCAAAACAACACGATGAAAGTGTTGCGTTTACTTCTCTATTTTAAATTCTTTATAGACTATGCAAAAAGTGAGGTTGAATATTATCCATCGATGAGAGAGATATCAAGGAAAAATATAAATATTTATGAGGATCAAGGATTACAGAACAGTAAAGAAATAAAAACAGAGGATGTTAAGCTATTTAATGAGAAAAAGGTTTCAAGAAAACGTGCCGCGGATCCCGTATTTCATGGGAACCCAAAAACTACAGAAGAGTTATGGCATGAGCGATTTTTGCCTGAAAGCCATAATTTTAATCAAATACCCTCCCTGATAAAACTATTACATAATATCACCTTAACCTATTTATATGACTGTACGCCTGTACTTCTATACGATTCTCAAATGAAGTCTTCTGAAAATAATCTTCTTCAAGAGCTGTTTAGATCATTTCCAGTTACCTTCATTCATGGATCTATCGAAAATAATAATAGTCTATCAGATCCCAAGCTCTTAGTTGAAGACAATGAATGCTTACATTTCATACTTTTTGTCGATAACGTACAAACGTGTGCGAAGGTCTTAAGCAAGCAGTCAAAGAGCAAAGTTATCATTATTGGAACTTCGTCCCAGTGGGCTGTGCAGGAGTTTTTAGCAAGTCCATTGTCGCAAATGTTTACAAATTTACTGATAGTGAGCCCAAGTTTTAAAGATGATGACAAATCATTGGTAAATATAGACTGTAACTCTTCTATTTCTAGTGTCACTTGGACCTCGAAGTGAACGTTTAATATACGTATCAAATTCTTGACTTAAAAAAAGTGAATCTTCTTATAGGAAGCGTCATACATATTGTACACCCATAAATTGTACACAGATGGCTTAGGATCTAGTAAGCCTCAGATATTGACTTCGTGGACCCATGGAAGGTTTTCAAGGAACGTAAACCTATTTCCACCGAAAATGATAGACGGCTATGCAGGACACAGATTTATTGTAGCTGTTGCTAATCAACCGCCGTATACATTAAAAAGGTAGGGAAACATTCAGTGATGTGTTAAAATGTATGTATAATCAAATATTGTCTATAGTTTACGTGAGTAGTGCACATTTAAATAAAACAATTTAACGATTTATATAAGTAAAACTAATTTGAACATATTTTAACTACGAATTTTTATTTGTCTTTACTCGTAATTACTATTAAATATTAAGTCACTTTACAAGTATATATGTGTGTTTATTGTAGCCACTCACTGTCGTTTGCGTGCCGTCGTTCCTGCAAGATAATCTTAAAAGATAGATATATCCTGTCGCAGATTTTAGATCACTTAAAGGGGAATCATCGTACATATTTTTTGGGTACCTAGAACCGTTTTCGCAGCGTACGTAACGGAAACCCACAAGGATGAATAATTTTCCCCGTTTTTTCCACATTTCCCGCTTTTCTTCGCTCCCATGAGTCTCATCGCGATTATTTATAGCCTAATAAGCCTTTCTCGATAAATGAGAAACAATACAACAATGGTCCTGAGTTTAGCGCGTTCAAATAAACAAACTCTTCAGCTTATATTAGTATAGATTGTAGAATAGGATTTAGTCATCGCATAAGTTCTTATTCTAGTTTAAAGTGTATTTTTAGGTATATTTTTTAGTTGTTATTTTAGAATGGTGGACTCTGCAACACTAACGTGTTGGTAACGTTACTTTTTTTATTAATTTTTTTTATTTACTAATAAAAATCGTATTTTAAATTTAATAATTTTTATTATAAAATCAAGTTAAGGTTATATATTTTAAAAAGGTACATATTTTGATTTAAATAAGTTACAAAGAGATCGACTTTTGCGTGTAGGACTCGGTAGCTTAATTGGTAAGAACAACACGGAACGCTATGCAAGGCGGGTCAAGCCAGTGTCGTACATTTTCAATATATAATCAATCTTTAATTTATTTCATAATTTAGTAAATAACATTGCAGGTCAAAAATTGACGCAGCGAGTGGTAGTATTCGAACCGTCTGGGATGGTGTAGAAGTCAGAATGCTAAACTTGTTAGCAGAAAGGAATAATTTTTCAATCGAATTTGTTGAGCCTAAAGAATTGAATTTGGGGTAATGCAATATTTTATTATTGTTATACAACTATTACGACTAAGTATTGATTGTAGCTTATCGAGTAGTACACATTTAACGGTTTAAAACGCGAAATATATAAGTTGTCTTATTTTTAATTACCCAAATATCTCTAAATAGGCAACTACAACGAAACAGATGGCGCTAGCATAACACATTTCACTGACATTAGGGACACCGTCCTTCTAAATTCAAAAAACGTTTATTGCCATAAAATATATTTACAATATAACTTATAACTAAATGTGTGCATAAAAAGAATAATAATATAGTAATAAATATATAAGAGAATGCTGCTGAATGCTTGTCACACTCAGCAGCCTACAGTCCTTCCCTTGGCCATGGCTGTTACTAAGCCTCTAACACTGGGTTCGTAGCTAAAATAAAACATAACAAAATAAGTCAAATAATATCTCATTGTGTGTTTTTAACCGTTAAAAGTGTTTTAGTTAAACTTTTCAGGAATGGTATCTACTCGAATTGTTGTGTAACCCATATTCATGGTCTACAGTTGGACAAAGGTCTTCTTTTTATAAGAGACGGTTATGCTTAGAGTTCATAAAGACCACGTTAGAGATCATAATCGGGACTGAAGGTGTTAAGTGGTCTCCAAGACATGGGATGTGACATCTCCGACTGCCGAACTACGGGCTGGCACTAAAAAACTTCAAAATAGCTAACTACCCGCAATGTTTTACTTGGGATTTGATCCCTGGACTTCTTCATCTACAACTAGGGGTTCAATCCACTACACCAACTAGATTCTTTCTTATTATATACTATGTTATTATATCAATATATATTGTTATTAGACCAGGCGACGCGGTAGCCAAGGAAGTGTCATCCGGTAGAGTTGATATTGGAATAGCCGGCCTCTATGCCACCTTCGAGAGATTCAGGGATATGGACCTCAGTTTTGGTTATTCCCAGGACTGTGCTGCATTTATCACTTTGACGTCGACTGCCCTTCCTCGGTTCGTACCAACAATAGACTGTACTTTAATAACTGACTATGCTATGTTAAAGGAGGACAGACAAGGGTAGGGTTCTCTTCGTTCTTGGTTCAATTGATGGAAGTTTAAATATCCCAGCCAGCATTAATGAAGTAGACCTATTTTAACTATCTACCGATTTCATCTATGACGGAATTTCGATATTCCTACCTTTTAATATCCAGATTTTCAGACGTGAATCCACATATTTCAAAAAAAATAAATTGAGTAGAAACATGGTGAACTGTGACTTTCTGATTATTATTAGCTATACTTTGCTATTAGACCAAAACCCATGTAAGCAAATCTATCTTTCTAGATACCGAGCTATTTTAGGACCATTTCATTGGCATGTCTGGGTTGCTCTGACGTTTACATATCTAATTGCCATATTCCCCTTGGCATTTTCTGACAAACATACTTTGAGCCATTTAATCAACAATGGTGGTGAAGTGGAAAATATGTTTTGGTACGTTTTCGGGACTTTCACGAATTGCTTTACGTTCGTTGGCAAGAATTCTTGGAGTAAGACGAACAAAATTACGACTAGGTTATTGATTGGTAAGTAAACAATCTAATGAATCATAGTATAGATTAGCTGTGCCCGACTTCCATTTTTGGATCAAAATTTGTTTTGCAACTCTTCTAATCTTTATATATGATAGCTATGAAGTGTTACCAACTTGTTGCGTCCCGTCGTGTCTCGTCCCGTCAGCAGTTAACTTCAAGTGCAAGTTAATCTTAGACTTAGACATAATTTGCTGCCGCAGATACTTTTTTGTATAATTTAAAGAGGAATCATCCTCTTATTCATAGATTTTTTAAAGCGTAACGTAACGGAAGCCTTCAAAAATAATAATAACTAAAACAAATAGAATAACTGAAAGCCAAAGTGAAAAATAACTTTCAAAGAAGTTTAACTAATATATCGCGTTTTAAACCGTTAAAGTGTTTTTTTTAAATTAATGAATGACAAGACATTATCCTGATTTGCAGGGTGGTACTGGCTATATACAATTATAATAACGAGCTGCTACACCGGATCCATCATAGCCTTTGTTACGTTACCGATATATCCAGAAACTATAGACACAGTAAATCAACTATTAAGTGGTTTCTTCAGAGTTGGCACTCTAGGTAAGTAGAAATTATTTAACAAAACGCTAAGAAAATCTCCCTTATAACAAAATGATTGTGGACGACAGACAACCATGGTGTTCTCTTGATGGAAGGTAAGCTAAGCCATATAGCTTCAGAAGCACGAGCTTGAGATATTTGAAAATGCACAGACTGACCAGACATTTTCATCTGTGGACAGTAGTTCGCGAACGAGACGGAATTGCAACATTCCTATCGCCCATTTATTATCTAGATGTCCAATATGATTTCGAAAAATTATAGATGTATTAAAAACGTGTTGTATCCGTTGGTTATCGTTAGTCGTACATTGCTACCGTTAGATTAACTTATCCGTTATTTTAAAACATATATTATGACGTGAAATTCTGTCGTCACTATGTTATTTGTTTCATAGTTAAAAGAAGATATATTTAAAATATAATGTTTTTATTTTACATAGATCTCTTACAATTTACTACATTAATTATATTAACTCACTTATCTCTATTGAAAACTTGAAGGATGTTTGCCACTTCTGTTTCGTAACAGGGGTGGCAAATTGAGAGACTAGTGAATTTTTATTGGTGATGGTTCACTATCGCTGTATGCGTATACCTTAATGTTTTTAGACCGAGGTGGCTGGGAAAGGTGGTTCTCGAATTCCTCTGACCCTGCCTCGAGAAAGCTATTGAAGAAGTTAGAATTTGTCCCTGATATAGAAACTGGTATTAGAAATATTACAAAGGCTTTTTTCTGGCCGTATGCGTTCTTAGGATCGAAAGCAGAACTCGAGTATCTTGTGCAGTCTAATTATTCCAAGACTGAGTACGTATCAGTTAAATAGTTTAAACACCATATTTAACGGCTTAAAACATGAAATATAACTTTTTCCTGTCTCATAGGAAGTTTGAATGTAATTGTGAAAATACTGTCAGTAGTGACCATGGCTGCTGCAAAGCATCTGAAACGTTGGGTCAACGCAGCGTTAACGTCGGGTCAACGTAGGGTTAATTAAAAAAAAAAATCAAATAAGTTTAACTAATCTATTTCGTGTTTTAAACCGTTAAAGATAATATTTTCGTTGTAGTTGCTCGATATTAGATAGACACAGAAATTTGTCTGTGCCAATCCGTACGTAAACTAAACGGGGTTTTGTTTTTCACTAAGTTAACTTTTTTTAGGTCAAAGCGCGCAGTACTACACATATCGAAGGAATGTTTTGTACCATTTAGTGTAACATTTAGTTTTCCTAATAATTCCGCCTTCACATCCAAACTCAGTAACGATTTGAGAAATATGTTTCAAAGTGGTATCGTGGATAAAATTAAGGACGACATTATGTGGGAAATACAGAAGAGTAACAAGGGAAGATATTTGCATGTGAGTTATTGCTTACCATAAAAAAATAGAAAAAAGTGGTCGATTTTTTTCTATTTTTTTTTGTATACTTCAAATTTGTATACGCATTGGACCTGACTAAAATTTTTCGACCAACTAATCATTAGGGGTTTAATTTACTTTAATGTTTTAAAAGCGACCCTATACGAAAACTTTATCTAAAAACCCAACTAAGTATCGTAATATCGTCAAACAATACAGTTGAGGTTACCAATAAATAAGTTTAATTAATAATCTTCTCTAGCTTTTTCATTAAGTATATACATAGTTATCTAAAAAATTACACGTACATGATCAAAATATTTTTACTTTCTCTTGACATATATACAAAAAAATATATATAAATAATAATTGTATATTAGTCGATATTAACGTTATCTGGCCATTGTTCTTGGTGACACTGTCGCGATTTGAACCCAATACAAACAACTCGTAAAATTTTAGTTTCCTACGCAATTTTATATTTTATAAGTAATTTCTATATTCAGTCGAAATCGTCCGGCCTCTCATCGTATTCTCTAGAAGAAAAGGGATTGACTCTTGACGACACTCAGGGAATGTTCCTGTTGCTAGGCGCTGGATTCCTTATAGCGGCGGTCGCTTTGATGTCAGAATGGATGGGCGGCTTCACACAAAGGTGCCGCCAACTGAAGCGAAGGTTTTCACACGTCACTGAACATTCAATTGTAACACCCGAACCGAGTTTGGGAAACGGCACAAATGGAAGTAGACTATTTTTTAATACAAGGTCCACGAGTGTCGAATCTAAAGAAACGCTGGACGGACAAATTATAAATGTGACCGAGGAAAGTATAACTGTCCATAATCAATTTGATACTTACGAGTTTGATTCGAGACGATCCAGTTCAATGGATTTGGATAAGGAAGTCCAGAAGATATTTAATAGAGACGAAATGAGGAGACAGAGATTAACAAAGTCGATGTCTATTGATGAGGAAAGGTCAAGTACTGCATCAAAGGTTTTCGGTGATCATGTCTTTGAATAGAATGTTTGTTGTCTTTAGAATCTTAGTTTACACTAGCTGATCCGGGAAATGTTATTTTATTTGCAAGATTAATATTAATACAACTTAAGTAATTGGTAATGATGCATTCATTTTGACCGAATTTGATTTATATAACCACGGTCTTGCGAATTAGTTTTAAAAGGTAGACATATATATCGTTGCAGACATTTAAATAAAAACACTTTACTTTGCGTGACCACGGCTGCTGCAAAGCATCCGAAACATCGGGCTGAAGTTAAAAATAATTTCAAATAAGTTTAACTAATATATCGCGTTTTAAATCGTTCGTGTTTTATTTAAATGTGTACTACTCGCGTAAACTATAAACAGTGTTGCAGACATTTTTAATCATGAAGAGGAATCGCTCTTTTATACATTTCTGTCGATTTCTTACACCGTTTTCAAAAGTCCTCATAACTGTTTTTATTTTCGTTTTTACCACATTTAGACTAGTTCTTCGCTCCATTTGGTCGCGACGTGATGTTGTTTAACCTAAAACCCTCAATAAATAATATATCCAACCAAAAATAATAATAATCTGAGACCGCGGCGGACAACTCATAATTCTTCGAGCAATCGAGGAGTTAACATATCCTGATGATGCCGTCTACACGCGATGGCGAAACGTCGAGAACCTCTTCTCGCTCACATCGGCCGAATAGCCCAAAAGACAATGATATGCTGAACGATGGCCGTAAAAGCCTTAAACAATATAAAAATAGTAATGTTTCAATTCGACCAAATAGTTCCTGACGTTTAAGACCAACAGACTTTTCAAAAATATGGTTCTCCCATACCCATAGGGGGAAATGGGTATGGGAGAACCTTGACACATGAGCAAAAAGTGGGGAAGAAGGAGTTAATTGGGTTTCTTGTATATTTATGGGTGACAAGAAATATAACTGGTGGGCATACAAATGTACAATTCCACGTATTGTTAGAAATAAACAACGAAATTGACATCCAACTCTTTATTATCCTTCGAACAGTCATCAAAATAATTTATAACAATTTTCTAACACTGTCCATTAACATTAATTCACTCAGCCACGAGATGTTTATTATACAAATGGCGAAACGCCGCGCGAAAACACGCCGTAAGACCTAGTCAATGCATCGTTTGGCCCGGCCTGCACTTAAAAAATAATTACAATATGACTTACTCCAATCCGCCTTCGAAATATCGAAAGCTGGGCGCCGCATCAATAAAAAATATCGATAAAATACAACAGATTTAGATTCTGTAAGTTCAAACGAAAGTACAACTAAGATACCTACCTAAGCAATATCGTTACATAATATTGCACAACTGATGTTACGAGTGAAAATTAGTGTGTTTGAGTATTCAATAAGGATATGTATAGTCCTACATCTATTTGGGCGACTGTGGCGCCAGGGCGAAGCCTGCGAGGAGACGCGACGACTGATGCTCGTAGTTCGAATAATTTATGCTTATGACTAAAGTTTCGTAAATGCAATGATCCTGCTGAAACAGGGCTATAGTCTTCGCCCTAAGGCCACAGCGAGGGGCTAAACCGTACGGCACATCTTAACCGAGCAAACCATTTACAAAACACACAACACAGTTGTGCGTGAAATGAATTATACATATATTATTTTACAGTGAAATCATTCCCGATAGCAAACTTCACAACCACGGAAATTATGCTCCCAATACCAGCTTACTGTTTTTACAAAGTCGAAAGTGACGACGTATAGTCTATGAAGTTTTACATAATACAAATATGGTTATCATATAAGGTATAATACTTATGTACTACTCAGAGAACGTTTGAAACAATTATGATAAAGTTTTACTTAGAGTCGTGCAATTCGTGATAGGTATCCGCATAACATGTTCTATACAAGGACAATATTTTGTTCATAACATTCAAATATATTTTCCAAGTTCGACCGTGTCGGTTTCGAAGGTTCTTTTGCCAAATGTTTTGAGCAATTTTCAAGAAAAGCACTTAAAGGGTTAAAGGAACTTTAGGGACGATCATTCGATCTCAAACAACGAAACTGTAACTTCAAATACATGCGAGTGCCGTGTCCGACACACTAACAACTTTTACAAGAATAATCCCCAGTTCGGGGACAACATTTATTACGCATCGGTATTTAAGCTAAGGGTGTATAATATTATACAATGCGAAAATACATTTCTTACGCGTTCAGACTTTTGAACTCCACGTGGTTACTTCCCTGTACACATAATCTAATTAATATACAATTTGTTATTGTGATTTGAAGGGTTACCTCAATACGTCTACACAAGTATTAAAATAGTGATTTTACACAGTAACAACAATCGTATAATTGAATTTCATATTTACATTGTACTTAATTACAGATAACATAAAAACATACATATGACATTCATAGTATTTGGTTTGAAACTGCAGTTTCAGTACATGTATGTTTTACAATGATCTGAAAGTTCATTTTACGCAGAAGATAGCTAGGTATGAATGATAGTGAATTAGAAATATAAGGTTTATAAAAAACACGTATACTAAATAATTTCGATACATCTTAGGTTCTCGATTTATTGAAACGTGTGGTAGCATACATATATATGTCTTTTATATAATAAAAATATACGGGTACACTTAGGCACTGTGAGTAAGGCATCTACAGTGGTTTACAAATGGTCCAAAGCCTCAAGCAGTGTTTCCAGACATATAACGCTTCGGAATTAGCAAAAATAAACGTGCAATATATTAGATTTGTCTAGGATTCTATTTGTTTATAATTTAATTACACAACTTCTAAAAATAGGGCGATTCGTGTTTCCGTAGTGCACTATCAAAATATATCATATGTGAAAAATATACCTTTGTGTTAAAGCTCATAACAGTAATATGATTTGTGTAAATATGCCTCAGATCACATTAACAAAAAGGTAATAACTAGGTTCGCCGTTCTCCGAACCGTTCGCATCCACTAAACGCTAAACAAGTACTTCTCAAGTACCAGGTAAGTAATGCATAAGTGATATTAAAAATTGACTTCAATATTTGGTCTGGATGAAACCCGCACTCCGACGACTTCGATGATCGTTGACTGACCGAATTGAGATCAATATAGCAAGATGTGGATCTAATTTAGACTAAATACCGTGTTCTCTCAAAAGACAAGACTGCTTAGGGTGCGAGTGTAATCATAAGATTTTTAAAGCTTCGTGTGGTACATTAATATACTCGTATCTAGCTAACATTTCCTACTTACAATACATAACATTCGTACCTAACGGGACGTGTATACATATTATGTAAATATATGTTTCTCGTGTATAAATACGTCAATAGATAAAGTATATTTTCCAATACATAACTTATTATATTCTGTGATGATGCTACACTTAAGTTACAAAGATTCAAAGTTCGGATGTCACACTATGATATTTTAAATGGCACAAAAAACTATAAAACACTAACACAAATTCAACAGTCAAATTGTTCGTCTTTCTCCCGCGGGCACAATTGTTCGTTTCACTTCCCTCCGGCTGCTTTCGACAGTTCACACACTGACGTCTCTGCGACTCGTTTTAAATTGACTAACATTTAAGCTAAATAGACAATGGCACGGATTGCACATATAACATGTATATACACGGGAAATTAGAAATCTATCTACGTACGTAGGTTCAACAGAAGGGTCTACCTCTTATCTAACATTTAACATCTAATTGTGGTGTGTTCGAGTGCAACATTGATATTACGTATAAGGACTGTGAACTTGAGGGATCGCCCTTTTCCGCCGTGCCACCGGATGGAGCACCTGGGGTCTGATTCAGCACCGTTTTGGAAAAGAGCAGGTGAGTCCGGGACGGGGTACTGAAGCTCGATGGGGTGGCAGCCTCCCGGAGCGGAGACGTGAGGCCTGAGGCCTAGCCGAGGCCGTCTAGCAGTGCGGGTGGAGGGGCCTCGGATAGGGGCCGAAGGCCTCATAGCCTAGCTATGTGGCCCACCCCTCGATCCGCGGCCGCTTTGTGTGGGGCTGCTCGTAGTCGAGAGGGACCGCGCTGTGCCGCATGTCCTGGCCTGCCGATGAACCCATGTTACTTGAGGTTACTGAACCTGATAAATTATATTATAGCCGTCACTGAATTAACCATTGGTCACGGGGTACTTCTTAATATAGAGGAGCACAGACAAGCATGAGGTTGTCCTGATGGTGGGTGAAATACCCCACCAGTATAACATCTAAGCAAGATGCGCTATCGACCTATTCCAGCTATGGAAATTGGGATACTTCCAATTTCAAAACGAACAATATTACAGACAACAGATTTGAAATTGTAACTATTATCAGGGAATTTTCACTCACCATCTATAACGCCAGAGATATGCGCAGGCTGTGGGGCTGGTTGGGCTCGGTGCAGGTGATCTGGTGCTCGTGGAGGCGACACGGGTTCCGCTTTTATCTTCACATTGCTCGGTGACGCAGCTGGAGGCGGAGTCCCGCCGCCCAGTACTGGCAAGCTGCTACTGTAAACACGCGCCAGTCAGTAAACGTAGTCGACGTAGTCGAAGGACCTTTAATTGTATATGTTATTGGCCTATCTTCTGCCACTCTTAGATGGGAAGCACGTCAATATTTGTATTTTAAGGCATCCACAGCGTTTCGTGCCGTTTGCTCGGTAGCTAAATTCGTCAGAACCCTGAGGATTCATTTGTATAGAGGCATCATGTGAAAAATATTAAAGTATTCAAATTTCCTAAACTTCATATGGCACTCTACACATTATATTAAGCTGAGCTAATACTCTCGTATTACAAAAAGACTGGTAAAGAAAATTGGTTTAGTTTATTTAATTAATTAGCTTATTCGTCGTATTCAACTTTTTTGTTGCAAGTGACATAATGTAAATGACTTGGAATGTAGTTCAAGGAGAGATACTTTATTTCGTTGTGGTTCATGTAAAAGCAATCATGCAGAAAATGTGAAAGTAGCGCTGTATAATCAACGTTCATTTTGTACCCAACTGTACCAGCTCTGATAGCCGTGATCGTCTAGTGGTTAGGACCCTACGTTGTGGCCGTAGTAACCCAGGTTCGAATCCTGGTCACGGCAGCGAAAGCTGTCTCGGCAGAGTTGTATTTTTTTGACATTTTACCTACGCGACATTAAAAATAAATTTAAAGGGCATTTAAATAATTTTCAAATAAGTTTAACAAGTATATATCGCGTTTTAAACCGTTAAAATGTTTTATTTAAATGTGTACTAGTTGCGTAAACTAAAGAGTATTTTTTTTAATTATTATGTTACACGTTTTTATGAAAATTCAGCATAGATACAAATACCGCATACAAAAGATGTAATTAACGAAAAATTTATAGCCTTTTTTGCTAAACTTCTCAGCCTTGAAGATTAAATGGTTTCCTAAACTGCATAACAAGTGAACCGTGAAATGAAACGTTATTTTGTTGAACGTTATTTCAGCTTTCGACAGAAATACTATCTGTTCCGATAGCCGTGATCGTCTAGTGGTTAGGACCCTACGTTGTGGCCGTAGTAACCCAGGTTCGAATCCTGGTCACGGCAGCGAGAGCTGTTACGGCGGAGCAGTTTTTTTTCTTTGTAAGGTTTTTTATGTAGGTTTTATCTCAATGTTATATGTTTATGAAGTATTTATTGATCAGTATTTAGAAGTAGCAAGTTGAAAAAATAACTTTGTAAAGTTCATTAATTAAAAAAAAAATGGAAATGGAATCAGCTAAATGAAAAACAAATGAAACGAGGATAAAGGAAAGAAATAAAATTGGGCACAGACATGTACCTGTTGTGCTGTAGTGTCTGTAGCTGATGCGCGCCCCATGATAGTCCAATGCCCATGTCTGAAGTCATGCTGAAATCCTGCGGTCCGAAATTGCCAAGTCCTGTACTGTAGCTTAGTGGTGTCTGAAACATTTTATAGATCATCATAAGGGTTTGACTACAGCTAGACATAATTGTTACATTTGAAAACATTTTAAAATGATATATAGTTAAAATGGCTCACCCTGTACGTTGTTTTATTGTTTGTAAGTCTAATACTATTACTACTATTTACGACATACAATTAAAATATTTTAATAATAAATTGGACGGAATTTTAATATAAGATAAAAATACTTAGATCATTTAAAAATCATTTTTGATACATATTTTCCCCTTGTTCTATGATTGTAGTTACTATAAATAGTCTATCCAATTTATAAATATTTTTATAAACCATAAGTTACTGATATTACCGGGTTCAAACAAGCAAACTCTTTATCTTTATAATATTAGCACAGATTAGGTTGCCATTTGAGAATAACATTTTTAATACCAAAATTTATTTGAGATTATGTTGATAAATTATTCTTTCCACGATATTATTCAACACGTACTTTTAGAGCTTATTACCCGAATTATTATTAAAAATCAGACAATTATTTAAAACAGAATACTAGAACACAAATAAAACATAGATTGACAATCGTTTTGGAAATTACAAGGATAGTCAGTTATTAATAATTTCCGTATCTATGTATAGAATATGACAAACAATAGTGGTAGTGATTATTTTTAAATAGGCATATTTCACGCTGCAAATCAGTTTATGCGAATCATCACTCATACAAGAATATTTTGCGTTTGTGAGGGTCAAAAAAAATTTTAAGACATGAAATAGAATAAAGTTTTAAAACTTTGTTTCTATGGGAGACATTTTTATTCTCTTCCCCCCTCTCTCCTACCTACCATGTGCCGCACAGTTTGGTTTATTTATGTCGTGTTGCTATCTTTTCTATTTTTTTATAATAAAGGAAGACAAACAAGCACTGGTTTCACTTGGGGGGGGGGGGGTTACCATACCCCCAGCCATGTAACAGCTCCTCAAAATTAGTTGTCTTATTTTAATATATATAGGTTTATTGCCTTTCAGTATATTTTAGAGATTATTATTTACCTCTCCAGTATACGATATCTCGTCTTGCGGAGGCGGCATCGAGCTAGGGATGACCACGCGAAGGTTATTGTGTCTAGGCGAGTGGTGTGGTGGTGGAGCGTGAGCATGAGGCTTGTGGGGATGACGGTGGGGCGAGGGAGCTGGTCCGGGTGACGGAGACGGGGTGCAACCGGCGCCGAGGGGTGATCCTGATCCGGGATAGCCATTGGACATTTCGAGCATTCCGCCGCTTGGGTATACTGAAAGAATGAACGTATTGCGTAAATAAAAATAACATGGTCTAATTTTGGGCAGAATGTCTTTCAAGTTCAAAAATGTGATTATTGCAACAGAACGGTGAAAGTTGTTTTATCATCTATAGTTTCCACAGTCCACGTGAAGGGTGTTGCACTGTTGGCTACTTTACTAAAACTTTGTAGTTATTATAGTATTATTAATACTACCACTAATAGTAATGCAACCTTTATTTAATAAGTCAGGGTTCTCGACTAATTAAAGACGACGTTTTTTTTAATTTAGGAAGAGTTAAGCCTTAGTAACTATCAATATATAGCATTTCTTACTTGGTAGTAACTTTTAAATATTAATTAATCTAACAAATATTGATCTTCCAAGGATTTTCGCCGTCACTGTCTCATGGCGTCAATACAAATTGTTATTTAAATTGATTCAAATACATATTTAGTTTTCTTTGATGATATATATTAGGTTTACCTGAATCGGTTTCCGAAGACGAGGGCCGCGGACTGATGGACGTGTGCATTTGTGGACTAGCTTGTAAGAGCGACTGGTCGTAACTGCCAACTGGAACACTGACCGGCAGATTGTAATTACTTCCAGCGACGCCGACGCCAACGCTCCGTCCATTCAACTGGTTCCTTTGCATCATCATTTGGAATTCCTCATCTATTTTCGAATACTTGGCTTCTGTGCGGGGGGTCAGGTTGTACTCCGGTTCGGCTTCTGGGCTGTCAGGCGACATCACACCGTTCTTATGCTCTTTCTTCGTTAGCGCCTGAAAGTGTCAGCGAAACGAGCTCAGGTGGCTTGACGAGCCAAGAACTTAGAATATCGACTCATGGCATGCTCGACTTTTTATACCCTCAATACCCTTACTTACAAAAGGGGGAAATTGGAAGTGATAAAATTTTTGAAATTTAACAATTGCCCCCATAAAAATTGTAGAACTTGGGCCCTACGGGTCAAAGATTTATAAGTAAGAGTTGTGAAACGGTTTTGGATTACTTAAAAATTAAATTACAAAATAAATTCAGGTTGAGTTAACCGAAAATCAGTTAAAGTAATTTTCAAACGTTAAACTAATATATGTCGCGTTTTAACCGTAACATCTTTATTTTAAAATGATTGGTTTTACAAGTTCCTTTAAGGTTTTTGATAACAATTGATCTTTCAAGTAATCCAAAGCCGCCTTGTTAGGTCTGTAATGAGGGTAAAATAAAAAGTGCTAGAAACTACAAAGCGGTAACCTATTTGTACGTGGAAACTTTTTAGCGTACATATGTGTGTAGTGTCTAACGCAATGATACAACACTGACTTCACCCTCGCATCGGAACACCAGGTAGGCCCGTTTAATTCAAATAAACACAACATATTTACAAAACCCATGCTGTAGGAAAAAACAACATAAATATTTGGGGTCGGTCATAAACTGTTAGTAACGACGTCTGGTGTTCCGTCCAGCTAACAGGAAATAAACATGCCGGTACGTGTTTATAATCTACGTTCCTACTTTGTGGAATTCAAATTTCGAATTAGTATTTTTACGAAAACGTTTAGTATGTTGCATTTGTGAGTATAAGCTGTTAATGGGAAAGTCAATATTGCATAGACATTGCATAGATCACGGGCACACAGATGACGCCGTACTTAATGTACCTCGATGATGTTGCGGTTCGTCAACGACTCGTGCGGCTCATTATACTCTGTGTACTTCAATAATACCTGAAATTAAAGACAAAAGCTTTTTAATGAGTGATAGCTGCGACCATGAATTGTTAATCAGTAATTACCGACGCTGCAAGCTGGTCCTTAGATAGATTTTATAACTTACTACAGCAGCTAGTAAAATACTAACTGCTGTGTCAGCGGCTTCGTACGCGTAGAACAGTCAATTATGGTTAGAAAATTCATCTTTGTAAAAAGCTTGTTACCTACGACGTCGGTCGCGTGCCGAAAATTCTTGCAAGTTAATCTTAAGAGATAGACATATTGTTGCGCAGGTTTTTTATTCGATCATTTAAGAAGAATCATTCTTTCATACACATCTTTTGATTGTCTTGAACAGTTTTCGCAGCGTACGCAACGGAAAACCAAAAGATAATTTTTATATTAAGAATATATTTTTTCACATTTCCCGCCGTGTCTTCGCTTCTATTAAGCGCAGTGCATTTTTTCAGCCTGTAGCCTTCCTCGATTAGTGATCTAACCAACACAAAACTAATTTTTCAATTCGAACCAGTAGATCTTGAGATTAGCGCGCTCAAACGAATAAACAAACAAACTGACTCTTGTTGACACAGTTACATTTGGTTTCGTACTGAAATATACGTAATGGAAATAGGAACAATTATTTTTAACGTTTTTTTTAAGAATAGGCCAATATGACAAGAAACATGAAAGTTAAATAAAAATTAAATACCTCAGTGTAGGTTACACTAATTAAAAGCCATTAAACAAGACTTCCGAAACGAAATGTCCTGCCATAATTTATACACATTTTCGGAAACTACAAAGCAATTAATGTAACCAAAATCACTTGAGACAAGTAATTTAAAAAAAAACACGATTAAGACAATTGTAACATTGAGACCGCTGTTCCGAACGCTATTAATAGGGTCTTACAAACAATTTGGGTGTCATTACGATTTTAATACTTTTAAATAAGTTGTATGCCTCCAAGCGACGGGAATTATTTTCGAAATTTTATGTTATTTTCAACAATAATTGACAGTTTGGCAGTGTTTTAATTTAAGTTGTTACCTTGTCCATGTCAGTGCTCGCGTATTGGTACAGTTTGTTGTTGGAGCTGAAAATGATGAGGGCGATCTCGCAATCACACAGCACGCTCAACTCGTAAGCCTTCTTCATCACTCCAAATTTTCTCTTGTTGAACGTTACCTGGAAAATCGCGAGGTACAAAGTGAATAATTGAAACCCTTCAAAACACTTCACTTCGCTGAAATTCTATCTGCGGTTTGATGGATGAATCATGATAGATTTTACGTCAAAATGGAGGCGAAAGAGTTGCGTAATAACTTATAACTATATATGAAACATTTGAATTAAAGATACATTAAAATAACTATTAGCTCTTAAGTGTGTAAATTATTCAACATAAGTATTGGCAGTAATTTAAGCGAGCACAGATCTAAATAAAACACTTTTAACGGTTTTACACGCGAAATGTACCGCGTGACCACGGCTGCTACAAGTGCAAAGCATACGTCAGGACTAGAGGTAATAAATGACACGTTTTAAACCGTTAAAAGTGTTTTATTTAAATTAAGCTCTCATTTTTTACGTGAACTGAACACGTAAGGTATTAATGGATTTTTCACTGGAAAAACAGTTTATAAAGGGCCTTGTTATATTAGGTCAGGGACAGTGAACAATTATTGACAACAAATGTTAAAATTTTAATTCAATAACCTGTATATATAATACACATTGTTTGTTAATTAATTATTAAGTCTTCATTTTCCTTTATGTCGTTAATCATTTTAGTTGGTTGTTGTTTTGTAGTATCGAAGCACAATATTCTTTATTGTTTAAATTTGATCGTATTTAAAATTGCTAAACATTTGTTACGTTACTGAATTGCACCCGAAACTAAATAAATACATTTAAGTATATTTCCACCCATTTAAATAAAACACTTTAACGTGTTAATACGCCACATATAGATTAGTTAAACTTATTTAAAAATTATTTTAACTACACATTTAAATTAAACACTCATTAAAGTGTTATATTAAATATGTGGGTATTAGTTAAACATTTAAAAATTATTTTAACTAATATATATCGCGTTTTAAACCGTTAACGTGTTTTACTTAAAAGTTTCAACCCGTTAAAAGTAGTTTTATTTAAAGTGTTTAGTGCCAAGCCGCCATACAGTACACTCGTACAATTAATAAATTACAAGTCAGCGGTCAATGGCCCTCGGTTCGCGATAATATTTGCCTCTGGCAGATAACGATCTGTTTGTAAGGTCAACTAAAAACACTGGTTATATACAACCTAACCTTGTCTAAATTCCCATTTCCCCCGTGGGGCATGGGGCGAACACATTTCTGTAGTTTCACTGATATGTTCATTTACAGGCAAGTATAGCACACTCATTCACCTTGCCGGACCGAAACAATCTATTGTTTCCCAGGGATTAAAACCCAGGACCCGTCTTGCTTAACGCAATGCTAGGCAACACGTGTAACAATTTGGTCACAAATGCGTTTGACCTTAAGTAACCTTTTAGATTATCATACTCTAATGTGTAGTATCTAAAGATTTAATTCAATTTTCTTTGGTGGTAAAAATGGTGATACTAGACAGCAACAGACCTGCCGATTCCGTTCATCCGTAATACGGGATATTTGTATTTTCTTCCGGCCCATGGTGGCAGCAATCTTGGAGAGGTTTTGGGGAACTGGGGGTGTGAATAAATAGCCGGCGGGCCGCTACTGTGGTGTCAACAGCTGCTACCTGTAAGAAGAGATATGGTTTGTTATTTTCGATGAAACATTGTTTAAAGCCAAGGAGTAAAACCTAAACAGTGCACAATTATAAACAATAGAAATGATTTACGCGAGTAAATCAAACAAGTACTTAGTTTAAACGGTTCAAAACGCGAAATGTATTTAATTTATTTTAAGTAGAGATTTAAAGGAGAACAGAGAAGCATGGCCAAGCCCAGCCACATAATACGCCGCTATCGACCTATTATGGCTTTGAATATTCGGATTGAGATTGTCATTAAAAGCATGTCTTCATACATTTAACGAGTAACATACCTATATACATATCGTTATGATCTTACTGACTGGTTAAAAGGAATGAATAACGATGAGATAACGTCTAAAAGAACAAATCTACGAATATAATACATGGCATAATGATTTACATAAAACGCGTCACATCACAAGCCTTCGTCAGCCTCGCTTTTTACGTAATGGCCATCGAATAACCAATGAAACCTTCATACTTTGTTCCATGGGAGAAAGTAGGTTCTTGTTTTTGACACAACTGAAGCTTATAAGCATACATAAATAATACGTCATACATGTCTTGTGAAAATCTCTCGGCCCTCTAACATCTATAGATGGTGACTGTGTTGTCGACCTATTTCGCTTTACATACTCTGAAATCCAGATGATTCTAATTTTTTGGTGACCCTGTAAAAGTTTCGATGTCTAAAACTATTTGTTTTTTGTAAATAAAAATAATGACCCAATAATTAAGATATATAATACATTGCTACTTTAACGGTTTAAAACGCGATTTATATTAGTTAATTAGTTTACAAATTATTTTTAACTACGGTCCGACGTTTCGGATGCTTTGCAGGACCTGTGGTCACGGAAGTTTAACTAATATATTTTGCGTTTTAAACCGTTAAACTGTTTTATTGTAATTCATACTATCCGCAGTACTACAGACAGTATTTAATACATTGCTATCTCGAGACAACCGCTAACGATAGCAACATTTTAAAATCGATGTTGTTCAAAAGACACAACGTCAATCTTATTTTTATTGTGAAAATATTATTCACATTTTTGATAATATTAATCCGACATTAGATATGCGCAATCTGGTAACGACAATTTCTTGACGAGTATGGTCGATTTTGTATACCTTTAAAAGACGTCTGTAAAATTGGCAAATGAAAGGAACAACATGTAATTAGCGCAAAATGCTGACATGATGATAATTGTACATTTCGAAATTTGGTTCAGACGTTTACTAAAACTGCGTAAGCGGCTGTTACGTACAAGTTCATAGCCTCATTACTTTTTATACTTGAAACGTTCCATTTGTTATGATTGAGGACAGGCAAGCGTGGTGTTCACTCGAAGGTAGGTGAAACGCCAGCCGTATATCGTATAACACAAGATGCGTTCGAACTATTTTGCCTTTGGATACACGGACAGAAATCCACAGACTAAAACCGGAATGTAAATGTAATACATATTTATATTATTTACTAACTGACTTGTAAAACAATATAAACGATGAGGCCGTCTGTACCAATGTTAGATGAAACTTCTTTAGTGTTTTTTTCAATGTTATTAGTTCGTCACAAGGTTATTAGTTTCGTACAAAAAAAAATTGTAAAGTTCCGATAACTAGAGTAAAAATTTGCTCGTATTTTTTTAACGGATTCTTAACCTATTTTTGGGAATGTATGCTTTGGGAAAGTTGTATTTTGTACGATCTATGTAAAAAAATAAAAAATAAGAGTAATTGAACGACACTTAAATACTGTCTATAGTTAACGCGAGTAGTACACATTTAAATAAAACACTTTAACGGTTTAAAACGCGATTTTTAACATCAGCCCGACGTCTCCCTGTGACCACGGCTGCTGCAAAGCATCCAAACGTCGGACCGAAGTTAAAAATCATTTTCAAATAAGTTTTACTAATATATCGCGTTTTAAACCGTTAAAGTGTTTTATTTAAATGAACGACACTTATTACAGATTTATAGTGAGGACTGTGTTAGGGGCAACCTAGTTTGTAAGCACTGCTGTCTTTGCTGATAAAACTGAAGAAAAAAATACAGGCCTTAAGAACCCCGTTTTTCAATCGTTAAACTCTTCGCTTCCTATCAATGGTACGGAACGGAACTCTTTGAACGCGAGTCCAATGCCCACTTGGTTAAAAGCGCACTGTTCGACTTATACATGAATATATAAACAGCACACCATTGGACAAACACTAATGTCAATATGAAGAGGTATAACCAAGATTAAATGTACTGGAAGTGGCAGCGGAGGGAACAAACTTGACCGTCCTACCCTTTTTTCTTATGGCTCATTAAATTTTTCCTTAAAAGGATAACCCGGAGCACAGAGGCATAAAGCGAGTATAATCGTGAAAAACCTTTACACTTCATCCTTCAAGGGTGTAAGTCGCATCTTTGCTTCAGTAGAGGATTTTCAAGGAAAAACGCAGATTCACTAGTGTTTGAAGCGCTATTTCCCTCATACTGGACGTGCCATCACTTCGGGTACTTTTTCGTTGATAAATTTTATCTAAGTGTTTTTGTGCCCTACCCGATCGAAGCTATTGTGCTTTTTCCGTGATGCGAACTTTTTACGTTTAATCACAAAGCCACGAAGGTGCTTGGTGTCACTGGACGACCATTTTTGGTCATTGCAACAAATTATTAAGAATTAATCTTTAAACAGTAAAACAGTATGTATAAACAAACATATTGATTGACTAAAAAACAATAATAAATTAAATATTGACTGTCAAATTGTCCTTTAAATGACACAAAATCCTTATTCTTTTAATTCAGCTACAAAGCCTTGATATAAAATGTATTATACATTTTACAAAGCAATTACTACCAACACTCATAAATTGTGTTAAATAAATCGTTGTATTGTTCTACTTATTAATACAAAGTCGTAAATTGAGATAACCGAATAAACGCTGTTAATGTCCCATTTTATTATTCGCGAATTTATTTCTGTATTAATAAAATATCCGTGTATTTTCCAATATTGTTTTGAAAGTAGCGAAATAAATTAAACATTGACAGTAGCGCGATGATAACAGTAATTACTTGTGATAAAACTTTAGACAGGTATAGCTATAAGTTTTAAATTTTCAGCAACGTTTATCTCTAGATGTCCAAAGGGCTTATTGTTTAAATGTATAGCAGTGTTATTTCCCAAGTAAACCTCTGTCGTCGGGAGTTCATTCTCCGATCAGCCAAAATTATTTTCTCAAAATATTCAGCGCATCTTGTTAAAATGCTATAGGCTGGGTTATATCGCCTACCATCAAATGAACCCCGATGCCTGTATATCCTCCTCTGTCATAAAAAAACCATTCTGATAAATAGTCTTTGATCAAGCACAGAAGTCTCATAAACTACTTGCCTGTAATAAAACCTATCAGTGTTAAGAATAGAAATGTGTGCGCCCCATGCACCATGGGGGCAAACGGAACTTACTTTTTCATTATTGGTACTATTCGAACTTTAAGTACAAAGTTAAAGCAAGCCATAATTGGATTTTCTTTTATCATAGCCTACATCCGGTGACTAGGTTATTTTATTTCTAAGTAACAATTCAGTTTTCCCCATTTTCAGACAGACTCGGTAATCGTTTTTGTTTGTTAAAAGCGCTTTACAGCGTTACTAGCCTTTGATAAACAGCTCGATCCCGTTTTACCAGGCTCGTGTGACCTTGCCGGGGGGGATGGGGAATCCACGCGTATACTAATGCTTTTCCAATATAAGCCTTTTGTGCTGGGAATAAAGTTCAAAAGCGATCGTACCGGTTCAGTGCATTTCAACCTTTGCATCTGATCTAGATCATATCAAGCTGTGTACACCAATTTCCATTAGCGTTTCGGGTTTCGATTCGTAGATGAATTTCAGCATTGTTTTTTATCTCTTATCCGAGATATCATTTTACTATCGTTATTTCATCAATTCCAAGCTAATTAAAATATCGCTAAGTTTGCTTATACGCGTTCAGAACTTTTTAATAAGCTTTCATTACTGTATTTTGTGCATATATATATATTGTCAATATACACGACTGAAATTTAGTTAATAATTGAAAGAAAACCCTCGTTATAAATTGAAATACGTCGTGGAACACATTAGTTTTTTATCTTAATCAGTTTTGACATCATATTAATGTGAAACAATGTTCCATCATGGATGGATAAAAGCTTAAGAAATGTAGTATGCTACACTTATTGATTTATCTTAGATTAGGTACAATATTCTCATTTTTATCATGATAATAAGTTCTTTAGCTTTTCAGATCAGCTCTTTTATGCGAGTATTATTAAAACTACGCCATAAGAAGCATAAGATTAACTAGATATGAGTTTATTTGAAAAATATTCTTAGATTTTTTTTTTGCGACTAAACCTTAGCGTCTAAACCTGACTTTAGGCATCATTTCAATTTTGCGTTGCGTTATATAGATTTTAAAAAAATTACCCCAAAATTTTTTTACAATTTCTAAATCAACAACACCCAGTTTTTCATTTTATAAACGTTCAGATAGACTATTTCTATTGAGAGATAACTTTGCTATTGTATTCTGTACTTGCCAGTCTAATTAACTACACATTATAGATAAGAATTTATATTCTAATTATCTCGGATACTTGAATAAAATCGATTGCGCAGGAAAATACGGTGAAGATACATCTTTCTGAGTTGAGAAGCTTATGTTTGGTTGCCAAGCAACGCTCGGTGTAGCAAGATGGCGCACGTGACGTCAGCTGAGCCCGGGAGGCAGGGGGGACAAGGTCTCGCATCCAAACGTGTCACTTCCCAATGAAAAAGAGGCCTAAGACCCGCACCAAGAGCTGTCCTTCAAGCGATATTGCGGAAGGTAAAAGTGCGAAAATTATAC